GGTAATGGAAATTCTATTTTACGATCAATACGTCCTGGACGAATCAAAGCAGGATCAAGTGATTCTATACGATTTGTTGCCATGACGACCTTTACATATATAATATATATTATTTTATTATATATTAATATAATAATTTCATACAATAAAGGGTTCAAATAATAATGATGATGATAATTATGAACCTTAACATCTCCTCTAGAATCAAACCCATCCAATTGATTTAATAATTCCAACATAGTTCTTTGAATTTCTCTCTCACCACCAGAATTTGACTCATAACTACATATATATATAGTATGAGTATTATTAGTATATATTTGATATTTCAATTTGGTATAAAAGAGTGAATAACTAATGATTATAAAGTACCGTTTTGTTCCAATAGCATCTATCTCGTCAATAAAAACTATTGACGGCGCATGTTCTTCTGCAACACGAAACAATTCGCGCACAAGTTTAGGTCCATCTCCGAGATACTTCTGAATCAACTCTGACCCAACAACACGTAAGAATGTAGCTGATGTTTGATTTGCTACAGCTTTTGCTAAAAGTGTTTTGCCTTTTTTAAAAAATAAAATTTTTAAATATTAAATAAATGCACAAATATATAAATATTTTATTATCATTAATTTTTTATTACCGGTTCCTGGAACTCCATATAAAATAACTCCTTTTGGAGGTTTTATTCCCATTTCTTCGTATAATTCCGGATGCGTTAAGGGCAATTCTACTGATTCCTTAATCTCTTGGATTTGTTGCTCTAACCCACCAATATCAGCATATGACTCAGTGGGTGCTTTTTCAAGTTTCATCACACTGACCATTGGATCTGTATCATCCTGAAGAACTCCAACAACAGACATGGCCTACATACGCGTATATATCGTATATATATCAATATGGATATGCTTTTAACCAACCAACTAATCCAAAAAGTAAATAAAAAACAATACCCTGTGATGCAAAAGAATCGAACAACCCGGTTCTAATGAATCTTTATCAACAAATGATAATATGTTGACATAATACTCTGGACCTGTAGAAGAGGAGACTATTGCATGATCATCATCTATGATTTCTTCCAATGTACCAACTCCCATTGGTGATCCACGCAAATCATCAACCCTTATCCTTTCTTCCTATATATGAAATTTAGAAACATCCAAAAAAAAAGTTTTTAAATAAATGGAGAAAAAGAAATAAACTGACTGGATGATTGATTTAATATTTCTTTGAGAACAAATTCATACTTGTGCCTTTTCTTCTTGCGGTTTTAATCTTTCTTGGTTTTGGACAAATTCTTCTTCCATCAATAAATAATCTTTTATACGTTCCATCTTCAACAATTTGAGATGACATCTCGTTGTAGGAAATACTAATTGATCAATAAATTTAACAAAAAACATGATTTATATTTGCCCTCAACAAAATAAAATCAACCATCATTATAGAGTATATTTTAAAGAAAAAAATAACTTTCTTGAATTATCAATATCTATTTAAATAAATACCAGCTGGTAGTTTTGAAATGGCATCAAGCCCTCTTCTCTTTCTCTTGCCAACACGTGTAGGAAGTGGTGGTTCCCATTTTTTCTTTTTATCTTTATCCTGAAAAAAAAAGGATTTAATTGATCTGTAAGATATATCATCAAATTCTTATAAGTCATTGTCAAAAGAAATACAATCATAGTACCTTTTCATCTTTATTCTTATCATCTTTACCGGATCCTGATGGATTAAGATTAAGAGACTGAGAATTGCCCTATAAATTCTCAAATATAACATTGAATCAATACACAAAATGATTTCTTGATCTATCGTTGTTTGTAAAAAAAATTTTTATTTTCAATTAAACTTCATTAATTTCTAGATTAGTTTTTGGTTGACGTACCATTTTAAAAGAACTTTGAAATAAATAATGAATTTAATATTACATCAAATTTTTGTGAATACGTAATCTTTAAAGACCTTGTTACACGTACATATGTGGTGATACCAACACCTTCGAAAGATTCTAATCAAACTTTTATTTATATATATCAAGATAATTGCAAGATTCAGCATTCAACCTGGTAATAAAATGTATCAGAATTAACCTTTGACCACTGAATAAAATTTATGATTTATTGTCTAATTCGATTTTGATGAGAAAATTGGAATACGGGAAGGTGTTATTATATTTCAGTGATTTCAATGTCTGAAATAAATTAGTACAATATGAAATAAAGGCTGCTGAAAAAATCTTTAAACATTTTGATATTTTGCTGAAATTTCTTTTTCTTCGAATTTCTAATCCACTCGGTAGTATAAACCATATCATATTAACGCTGTTATAATTTTCAAATTGATTCATGATCTGTGATAATAAAATTATCAATATCGTTTTCAGAGGCCAGGATTTTGGTTTGGTTAACACATTTTCTACTTGAATATCTTTAATATTTTAGCCAATCATAATCTAGAAGAATAAGTTGTATGGCTCACGTTCAATTTTGTATATATACAACCAATTTTTATTAAATAAAATGGGTATCATTTCTAAGCTAAAAAATGTAGTTTTAATTCCCAAAATAGATAGCCTTTATAACAAAGTATTTTATAAATATTTTATTCTAAAAAAAATATTAAAAAATATTACAATTATAAATTATAAATTATAAATTAATCTATATTATATTATTATATTAATCTATATTAAGTTATTGTGTTTTTGAATTGCCATGTTATAAACTTTGGCGTATTGATCAACAGCTCCACCAGGTTTATTCCAATCTAAACTTAAAGCATCTTTGATCAATTTCCTCAAAAATATTTCTTTGCCTCTAATATCATTTGACAATCCTTTTATATCATTGATGGCTGTACTTAAAGCCAATCTCATTTCCTCAATTGATAAATCAAACATATCATTTTCATATAAATTAAACAAATATGAATTATAATCGAAATCTAAATCATCTGGTGATGATGGTACATTATGTGTTTTATTTTTCAAAAATTCTTTTAATCCGCCAGCACCTGTACTAACTACGGGAGCTCCAAATAATAAACCTTCAACTGCCACTAATCCAAAACTTTCTGTTAGACTAGGTACAAATAATATGTCAGCAGCAGCTCTATATAAAGAGCCCCAATTTTTTTGAAATTCAAGATCACTAATAACCACAACATCATCCGGGTACTCTTTACTTATGGTGGCAATTTTTTCAACAGGATAACTATTATGTTGTCCCATTATTATAAATTTAGCATTTAATTGTGAAATAATTTGAGCAGCATCATGTAAAAATTGTACATCTTTATTATATTGGAATCTACCTACAAACAACACAATCACACGATTCAAATCTTCTCTCAAAAGACCTTCTCTAATCAAATGTTTTTTTGCACTATATTTTGAATAAATTACCAGGTTATTATAATGTTCTTCAATATTTCCATGAACAAGGGTATTTGGATTGAATGTATTAATGTTTTTGGAAAGTTTGAATTGGTTTCAATTAATAATATATCATTAAATGGATTAAAACTTATAAGATCAATGCCACTAGTTATGCCAATCCAATTTCCTGTTCTAGCACATTCCAGTATACTAGGCATAATCAATCCTTTAAGATAGAAATCCATCAGTCCTTCCACCATTTCTTTAGCCATTGTATATGAAACAAATGTGACATAATCTGCTTGATCAATTGCTAATGACAATGTATACATTCTTGAACCATGAAAATAATTTGGCTTTTCAGTTGTGTAATCTTTTAATCCATAAATTTTAAAATATTTACAACTTCATTTGAGTACAATTGCTCTTCCAAATAATCATGTAAAGTATAAACAATAGCAGATGGTGGTTTACCAAATCTGTTGTTTTCTTTATTTAAATCCTTAAGGAATTCAATTACCAATGCATTTGTAGTACCATGAATATGTACAATATCAACACCATGTTCTTCTTGAGTATCAAATAAAGGAGTATCAACAATATTGGTTATATATGCTATTAATTCAGCTACAGCTTTGCAAAAATACAAATCCCTCCATTCTCAAGGTAAACTTGGCAGTGGTGAATATATATCAGTGACTCTTTTTGATTTAAAGGCTAAATTAAAAGGTGCTGCATCTTTACTATGACCTATCGCAAAAACCCTTATAGCTTTTGGCTCTGGTGGTGGTTCATCATTCAATACATTGTCATCTTGAGTTACATTCCAAAAAAATTGATATACTGTAAACACCACCTGTTTTGAATTCCCATATTTATCTTAAATATCAATTGACATTTGAGCAAAACTATGAATGTCATGGTGTGACTTCAAGAAAGAATAGTAAGGCATGATTACATTCACTTCTAATGCACTATTAGCAGTTTGAGCTTGTGACAATCCCGTAACTATATGACCTAATCCACCCATTGATGCTAATCCGAATTCTTTTGTGACATGAAAAATATTGGTAACTTGATTTAACTCAGTTGTTACATTAGAAGGTATACCAATATATTTTACTGGTTGGTAATTTTTTCATTTTTTTTTAAACATACAAAAATTTTTTTATTATTGTTAATATTATGATGAAAACATCCATTTTATAAATTATGATTGAAAAATATTAACGCACCTATTTTGGGATGATCATTTCTCAAAGACAACAAGAAGTTCATAAACATCAAAACACCTGGAAGCAAAGCTAAAATAATCATAACCACTATTAAATATGATACACATCTCCAATGTTTTCTTTCTATATATAGTCTAATTAACGGCATATGATTTATTCTATGTTTTGTCATAATAAATTGATTATTATTATTATTAATAAAAGAATTGTCATTTTTTTCACATGGAATTTTGGCTTCTAAATTTCCTAAAAGTTGATCAGACAACATATTAGCGTCATTGTAACTAGTAGTGGTTTCAGTTTGAAAATTGGGTGATCTTGGACGCATTCCTGGAGAGTTCGTAATTATTTAATGTTTGATTTTATTAAACAATATACAGTGCGGATCATCATAATTGTGTAGTTATCCGCAAAAATACCCGCAAATTTGCGCAGTATTTTGTAAAACCGTGAGAATATTCGAAAATATCCGTAAATTTGCGCAGCAATATTATTAAAATATCCGAATTATTTTTTTATTTTATTTTATTTAAATGACATATCATGTATAGGAAGTATAGGAAAAATAGACAATTTTTTAGTTCTTGGATTTTAGTATCTTATAAATGATGTCCTTTAGAATACATATTATTAAATATAAATTAAAATAAAAAAAATAAAATATTAATAAATAAATAATTATCACAAACAAATTATGAATTAGATTTTCATGATTATACACATTTTATATAATTTTAATTTTAGCATTTTTATCAATCCAAGAATTAATTGCATCTAAGGTA